AACACGGGTGATGACATTTCGGCAATTAACAAGTTGCATGCCGGCCATCAAGCCATTATCGCACCAACGGGCAGCCATCCTTGACGAAGGGGAGCGCGGTTACTTGCTATAGGTATGTGGTAGCATAACGACTGCATCCTATAAATACTGCGATTTCCTGTGCACGAGTCACCCTTCTCTGCCACTGTCTCTGATGATGGATTCAAGTGAGAATCCGAAACGTCAGGCGAATAAAGCCCTTGTTCCAGCGATCGCTTCTTCGTCTGATCAGCTAGTTTCTGTAGCTCGCATCTTCGCTTATATCGGCAGTGTGTTCTTGTGTCGGGCGGCGGACTGGTGGCCTGAGGGTCAGGCTGCAATGACGCCCTCCTAACGTGGCCCCTATGGCGTTCGCACCTCATGCGAACCGAGCCGGGTGAGGTGGCACGCCTAGAGGCGGCTTCAGTTGTGCCAGCAGTCACCCTTGTTTTTGCTATCGGTTAAAATCCTGGTCATGTGTTTGGTGTTGACCAGGGTGTGTGATGGTACACCTAGGTTCAGGTTTGGCCGTGCCAGACACCTGCCGCATCTCCCGCATCCGGTCTTCTCGACTATGTCCTGACACCGTGCTCAGATAGGAGGAGGTGAGGGTGCGGCAGATGCAGTGCAAGCCTACTGCCTCTGTAAACTAATTCACCCACAAGGCACAGTGCCTGCCCTCAATCTGCTTTAGAACAAACGGTGGACATTGCCGGTCACGGCGGTTGAGCTATCATATTGCGCGCGTGTCAGAAGACCTGATAAACAAGTAATTGGATGAAAGAGATGGGACCGGAATTCTTATATCATTCAGGGGTGGGAATGGATTGCCCTAGGGTGGGAATGGATCGCACTAGTAATTAGGCATCTTCAATTCTCTGAAGCCCATGTTTGTAATGTGAGCTAAATCAACGGCCGGTGGGATAGGGAAGGCCTTTAGGAGAATTGGTGAGATACCATCAAGCACAACATCTTCAGAACCCTCAACACGTCGAAAATGTTTCGTGGCGACAGCCACCGAGGCACGGCAAAAGATGTTAAATTCAGTTAAAGAAGGACTGAAATCCCTAGTAAAAGAAAGAAATTTTTGAATTTATCAAGTTTACGTCTTTGGCAACATGAACTATCAATCTGGATGATTGTCCGAAACTGGCAGGGAGTATGGAAATATGGTGAGAAGGAAGAGGAAGGAAGTTCCTTGCCAAATGGGTTATCCAGTCTGTCGCCATTCGTCTTTGCTAGAACGGAAATGTTTTGTAGACACTTACGCCAACTGTGATTCTAGAGGCGATACGTTAATGCTTCAAAAACGTATTATAAGGTATAAGGTGTAATGCGTGACCGATCTCATGAAATGTTGGCCAAAATTCTGAAATGCATTTGCGACTAGGAAGGATTAATGAAGTGGCGTTTTAAGATTAATTATCGTGTTGCATGATCTCATATTATTTCCGACTGGCCAGGATGTCTGCTTTTTGATGCACGTCTTCCTGACCACATGCAGAAACCTTACACGGTAACAAAAATGACTGCTTAAGTAGCATGTATTTTCGACATTGATTTTCGGTGGTCTTGTAAATTTAAATATATTTTATTGAAAACATGCACAAGAATATGATTTCTTTTACATGCTTGGGAGAAAACTACATTGCCTTTATATTTCATGCCTTAACAAATGTTATCTTTCGGTTTTAAAAAAGTTTCTAACTATGACATTTTTAAGAGCGTGCGATGTCCATTCCTACAGCATTGCACATGTCTGTTTACCAATACTCCTCACGAAATGTACAACAAGGTCGGCATCCATTGCGAAATTTTATGAACTTTATTTGGTGTCTTCTTAAAGTCCCAGAGGAATATATGATTTTCCTTACGTGGAACACATGCACTTTGTAGACTGTAATTGCTAAACGCTAATGCAGCGACTGATCTGGCTCAAAATTATTCGGGAATCGGGAAACGTTTTCAAAACCCAAATATACACTTTTTTCGGACATAAAATGTAAAGACAACGTGGGTTTCTACCAAACGAGTAGAAGAAAACATTTTCCTATGCATGTTTTCTAAAAAAATATATTTAAATTTACAAGACCACCGAAAATCAGGTTGTCATTTCTTTACAGAGTACGGTTTCTGCAGATGGCCAGGAAGAAGTGCCTTCAAAAGCCGATATTCTGGCGAGTCCGAAATAATATATAATCATACTACTCGATGATTAATATTACAACGCCGCCTCAATAATTCCTTCCTAATCAAAAACGTATTTTAAAATTTTGGTCAACATTTCATGAGATCGGTCACGTACTGGCAACGTAGCAGCGTCATAAGTGAAATAGTGACCAGAAATTTCGTTTAAAATGTAGGTTTACTTTGAGTGCTTAAGGCATTGCATGATGTTTGGACCGCTTGTGAGTTTCACAAAGACTCATAGAAAGATATAGAAAGCTAAATGGTGAAGAAATAGTTGCCTTAGGTACATTCTAATCAAGCCAGTGCAATTGCACCGAGGCACAGTCGAGTAAAACCTGCAAATGATATTACAAATAGATTGTAGTTCGTCTTCTTACACGGGTGTGATATGAAAATATGGGCGCTGAGTAAGAATGTGACGCAGACTAGGAGACAGTGAGGGCCAGGAAGACTTGTGTACGGAGAACAGGGACGGAGGACGGCACGGAGTATTAAATACACTCAACCGACCTTTGGTCATAGTAGATGCGGAGCTCGCACGAGGATATTCTGAGCGTACAAGATTGGCCTAAATAACCTGATAACGCTGCTTCAGTTGCTGCTATCAGACGATAAATCCCTGACTTTTGGTAGCTTAGCTCCGTTGGTCGATATGGACCACATGGAGGCTCGTTGTGGCCCATGTGATGCCCCGAATAAGGAATATTTGGGAAAGTGGCGCCGCCTATGCTCATTATACAGCCTTTTCTCAGCCATGTCGGCAGGTGTTCCATATACTTTGTTGGTCACTAAAACGTTCGGTTCAAACTTTTTTAATTCGGCCATAGCTAACTGGGGACTAAATTAATGTTGTGCTCACGAGTGATTTATTGTCCAACTGTGACAAGGAGCATGCACCTAGAGAGGACTCCGTAGGATAAATGATTTGAGAAAATTCGTAGTGGAGCCGGAATTTGAAGGCCATCCCTCACAGTCTGGTTGCTTTCGCCTTTTGAGATTGCCAGGTAGTCACGATGTGCAGTATTACCAATAATCTGAACATAATATGCTTTCGATTTAGGTGTCTTATTTTAGGGGCCTAAATTTATAAGAAGAAAGTGCTTCACGGAGAAGTCTGTTGCATAAAGTGCGTTGTTGTACAAAATGTTTAAGTTATTCCAGGCTCTCCATTTGTAGAAACTCTGTCCAACCTGCTCTTTTTCCTATTCTCCCCGTTACTACAGTCGTCAGGCTACATTCCTGTCTGCGTTTGGATACATTTTTCTTTAGGAAACAGTGCTCTTTACTCAAGTTATTCATAGTTAATTTAAATGTCCCCGAACGTCCATTAGCATCTTCTCGTAACACTTCCGTCCATATTGTGAATCCAATCGACGATTTAGTTCTCCAAAATTGCCCCGCCCAAGCATTTGTTGATGACTTTGAGCTTCCCCGGAGGCAGATTCGTGTGTTAGCTACCACATTCATGTCTTACAATTATTAGACCCTATAGGCGAACCTAACCGACACTGTCCTCACTCTTAGCAACTAATAGATCCTGACAACTACATTTCTCACTTGTAAAAATAAAATTACTTAACATCGCAGGAGACACAACTGGGACCAACATTTAACCTGCAAAATGCACTATAACTTGGTTTTTAAGGCAGAAAACAAGCAGTAGTTGAAGATGAGGTACACATTTCTCCACCTACGACAGTGCTGTTGGCTAAAGCGTAAAATGAGTCTGAAATGGCAGTGTTCAGTGTTCTGTGCGAAGAGGCAACCGCAGCTGGGACGATCAGCACCTTCGGGAGACGTCATGACAGCTGCCGGTTCAGTTCGCCTCAAATGCAGCCTTACCCATGCCAAACACATGTGATCATTCGCAGACTCTGGGACAGTGACATAGAAGCATGCTGCTCATTGTAATTAAGCAGGGTCTATTTATCTAAATATTGTGCAGACGAGGTTGCGGATCGTCCTATGAGTGACAGTCATGCTTTCCTGATGACCATCCTAAATTTCCAAAGGCGCTTCCAAGCGCACTGGATGGACACTTAAAAAGCTAAAAAGAAGAAGATGTAATCATTGGAACAAGCACTGAAATGATTTACTGTTTTTGATTTCTACTTGAGTCTATCAACAGTGGCAGTCGCACGCAGTACGAAGACATTCCAAGGTGATATGTGACTGATAAATATAAATCAATTGATTGTTTGACGATATAAACCCCGCCTATGGGGGACAGTCGTCAAAGATTTGTTGCACAACTGCTCTGACCGATGTTGGGGCATCCCCGAACTCGAGTTTCAGCACTGTCGGCATGAGGGCTCGTGAAAGTATTCTCTTCATCCCTTGGTCCACTGCACTACGGCCTCAAGGTTAGCCCATTCTCCATTTTGATTTTGATCAGAAAATAGGCAGTCTCTCTATGGACTTCTTTGTTTAATTGTTAAGTGTCACGATTTCCTTACTTCATTCGTCGGCATCTCGTTGTCAATTTCATGCTTTACCTTCGGTTTCTTTTCCCGCGACTCTGACTCCCCTCTCCTTCGGATTAATGTAACCCTTCCTTGTGGATTTCCTGAAAACTTTGGACTTTAGCCCAGCACAATCTTTGCGTCATAGGAGGACATCCAGGAAGGCCAGTTGGTTGTTTTCTTCCTCCTCCATCGTAAATTGAATGTCCGGGAAGGGGGCGTTGAGATGTTCTTTGAATGACATCACCTGATCCCCTTCGATGACGACAAATTTATCATTCACATTCCAGGCCCTGAACTTCGGTCTGTGGTGTTGGAATATCAATGACTCTAACCGTTCAGGACCGCCTCGGCGATGAATCCCGAAATCGGCGAACTCATTTGTATGTCCTTCACCTGTTCGTAGATTGTCCCGTCGAAGTTTAAGTTCGTCCTGTGACAAAGCTTCAGGAGTTGAAGGATTTGGGCCTGTCGAAGACGATTTCCGGTTTCATCGTATTTGCTCTGAGGTAGCAGCTCGACTGTCTCGATCGTCAGGTCCTGGCAAATAGAAGTAAAAAGGAATGAAGCATCAAAAGATAGCATGAACTCATTTGAATGGAGGCTTACTCCTTTAAGTATCTCCGGGAATTGTGCTGATGAAGAGACCGTGGTGTCTGAGTCAGTGGTCAGGAACGTACGGCCTGGCCAAGTGGCGGTGCCGGCCTCTCAAGTTCCTGACCGCCCCACTATCGGCATGAGGACTTGTGTGAGTGTGCGCTTCATCACTTGGTCCACTTCTATACGGCCATGAAGTTAAAAAAGCGCAAATTGTGGAAGAACGCCCTACAAACCTGAAGCACAGAACAAAATCCCAAGTAGTAGACAACAACGCAGCATGACGCTCCATTTGAGCGAACGACAGGACGAGTCCACGATCAAAGAGGTATTTTTCTTTCAGCCAACCACTTTGTTGAACAGAGAATAAAATAGGATCTGTGAAGGCAGAGCAGGAGACTTTAAAAAGAGCAAGGAGAGAAGGGACTAGTAAGATGGACGGAATGATTGTTTGACGATATAAGTCCCTCCTAGGAAGACAGCCCTCAAACTGACAAAAGCCACACGACCGGGTAATTAATTTGACTGAAGAATCTACACACAATTAGGCACATTTGCGGAAATATGCAAAGTCCATTGAGTAAACTCGACAAAATCAAAATAATTGTGGCCGAACTGCATCTTCATGCTTTTTTAATAAATGAAACAGGGCTCTCCCCAGACGCCAAAGACTCCGAAATATAAGTAGATGGTTAGAGAATGCGAAGACGACATCAAACCAAAAGAAGAGGCTGTAGAGTTGATCCATATATCAGCAATACAATCGGATATAACCCTGCGCAGAATCTGCAGTAAACGTAACCTGGAGTTGCTGAAGTGTATTTGTTGGCTCCTAAGTCTGGAGATGTTGTAGTCACCGTTGTATACAGGCTTCCGTAGCAGTCTGTCGGCGAAGATCATTCGTTAACCACTCGACTCTGCGAGAAGAGTCGAAAGCAAATCATTAATAATGTAGGGGATTTTAATGGTCCATGGACTGACTGGAACGTAACGACAATTAAGGGCGACCGGTAAGTACCCACCAGATGCTATTTGACATGCCAATTAATGCATTCCTGTTTCAATGTGTACGATCAATGCCTCGGAAGCGTGAAGGTCTGAGGTCTGGTTGTCGGGTCTACTATTTGTCAAAAGCAATGAAAGCGTTGATGAACTAAATACAGACCCGTCCATAAGTTCTTGTGACCACATGGCATTAATGTAGAAATCAATACACGTAGCTGTCCCCTAGCAAAGCTCAAATTCATTAAGTAGTGTATAGTAGGGTGGCTTTGAGGCAGCAGAATCGAAGATTGGATGCACGCTATGGGCGGAAGTGTTACGAAGTAATGCCAGCGGATGCTGGGAAATTTTCAAATTAGCTATGGAAAAATTGATTTAGATGTTGCCTGCTGTATACACAACCGCCCGGAAATAGACTGAAATGGTCGACTAGAGCGATCAAGAATCAGATCTGAAAGAGCGCAAATTGCGGAATAACGCCTTACAAACCTGAAGCACAGAAAAAAGTCCCAAGTAGTAGACAAAAACGCAGCTTATGCAAAAGACACTTCCATGAAGTACGTGCTTTTTATGAACTGAAGCTCCTGGAAGAGTCATAGACAAGCTAAGTCATTATATCTATACAACAGGAGCAATGCGTAAAACCATGACCATTTCGCCTCCATGAAGGTCAAAAATAATCAGACTTGAAGAAGAAGACACGATCGCCGGGACAAGAGCTTTATTAGCCTGACGTTTCGGATTCCTGCTCGAATCCGTCGTCAGAGACATAAGCAGATAAGGGTGGCTCATGCACATGCGGTTGGAGCATTTATAGGATGCAGTAGCCATGCTACCGCGTACCTATAAATATTCACGGCTCCCCCCCCCTTCATCAGGGATCGTGGCCCGTGGCGTGATGGCCGATATTCGCGTCGTTAATTGCTGCAATTTCATCACGTGCATTGGATGTTGGCGTGATGATGGCTCGACCATCTGATGCGCTGACCCGGGTGTTGGGAAGAGTGTTCACCGGTGCGCTCCCCGCGTGCCCATTACTCCGCCTAGACGAAGTCTCAGCATGCTGTATTGAATGGGAAGATCATTGCACTTGTTAATAGACTGGGGGCCAGTAAACCATGACTCAAGCAGCTCCCGGCTCACGCGGTTGTCACCTCTTGCGCGAATGTCGGCCTCGTCAAATTTGGATGTGTGGCCGGAACCCGTCGAATGAGCCGCAACTTGAGAACTGGCGTCATTTCTCCGCACTGCTGCAGCGTGTTCGCCCATTCGCGTTCGGAGCTGTCTTCCGGTTTCTCCGACGTAGTTGCTTTGTCCGCAACTGCACCACATCCGATAAACGACTCCAGACGTTTCTAGCCGTGGCAGTGGGTCTTTTGGTTTCATGACCAGACGCCTGATGGTTGCCTCCGGCCTGTGTGCAACTCCAACCCCAAGTGGTGCGAGAAGGCGGCCAACAGCTTCCGAAACGTTCTTGACATATGGAAGCGCACGCCAAACTTTGGTGTCCGTGCGTTAGGCCTTTCGTCCATTTTGCGTATGCACCGGTTGACAAAGTTGCGCGGGTAGCCATTGGCTTTGAAGACCCGTCGGAGGTATTGTAGTTCGGCAACCTTGTCTTCCGGCTCACTGCAGTTCGTTTCGACACACTGATAGAGCGTCCTTACACAACAGCTCTTGTCCCGGCGATCGTGTCTTCTTCTTCAAGGCTGCTTCCTGGGACTCGTCTCTTCGCTTCTATTGGCAATAACCAGACTGTTGGCCATGGCTTTCTAAATACCGATCTTCTTTCAGAATTTATCCACTGTGTCCATACCGCGCAACCACTCCTCCAGTCCAGTTCTCTGCCACGATTCGTCAGCAGCCCACTTACAAATGTAATATAATTTACAGTGTACTTAGTCCTAGCAGAGTAAAATAAGTTGCATCTGGCTAAGTCACCCGGACAAGATGAGATCCCAGGTGTACTCCTACGTCAACTAGCTGAAGAATTAGCCGAACCGCTTTGTATAATCTTCCAAAGATCGGTTGAAGCTGGTAGACTTCCTGATGTATGGAAGTTGGCAAATAACGTACCCATCCATAAGGGAGGATCGCAGCTATATTCGACCATCTACCGGTCGGGCAGTGTGAAATGCATCTGCTGTGAGCTAAAGAAAAAGTAATTAGAATAAACAGTTACATCGCTAGATAAATTCCGTTGTCACGTCAGTTCAAATCAACATGGTCTTGTGGAAGGAGGTCCTGCCTCACAAACCTGCCTACGTCGTTCTAGCATTGGTCAAAGGTCAAGGATAAAGAACACCTATTAGATGTCATTTACTTTAACTCTAGCAAGGCGTTTGATTGCGTCCCGCATAAGCACCTCATTTGAAATCACTCGAAAGTAGGGAAGAGTGGAAATTTTTCTGAACTGGCTCTAAGATTCCTCTAAAGGTCGTAGACAAAAACGTCACTGCGTATAACTACTGCTCAGTATGCACGCTTTCTAAAGTAGAGTAAATCAAGGGCCAGTTCTTGAGCACCTCCTATTCATTATCTATGTCAATGATCTAATACTAGGAGTGAGATCGGGTGCAGCGCACTTTGCAGGTGACTACAGACAGTGCAGTTGGATAAAATATGAAAAACACGCCCAGATACTATAGAGAAGATTCGTAGAACATTTATATGTATGGAGCGAGAACTGGTGCGCGAAATCCAACTTCAAAAAATGCGTGATGGTGTATATTCTACCAGCAAGACGAAGAACAAATGAACCATCACGACATTATCTCCTTGACGAAAAAGTACTTGAAACCGTAAGTATGCAAATAGACATTCGCGTATACCCTAAGGACGACTCAAGCGTCACCACGCAGTGTTTTGGAGTGGCGAAACGACCAACGTCAATAGTCAGCGCGATATGAAGAACGCTTGCTAACTCTATTTAGATGTCTTTAGCAAGGTATATGGGGCATTTGTGTGGCCGCAAATGAAATATGCAGCACAGACCTGGTGGACTTGGCTTCAGAATGATGCAGCATTCCCTGAAGCTGTACAGTGATGCGTCACAAAGGCTGTTTATGAACTCGAAAAATTAAAGTACGAACAGTGGGTGCGTTTAACAGACACCTGAAGAATAATCTGTTAAAAGACAACCCGGACTCCTCAAGCCCCATCGAGCAGACCACGGAAACAATAATCAGTATATTACTGAGATTAGTTTAACAGATCCCTCTGGGTACACTGGCCTTATCCCAGAGGAATGTCCCACTGCGAATATAGTGAACCTCCTTTTCGCCGTAATTTCCCAAATGCCGCACCTTTTTAACATTTATGCCTCCTCATAAGGTTCAAGCAATCTGCACACTAAAACAGCACGTAGAAATGTTTTGCGATCTGACTACTTTTCACGCATACCTGTACCACTATTATGGAGTTTTAAAGGTTTCTATGGTTAACCTCATGTATTCTGACTGACTGACGATTCAATTGGTTCGTATCGACCTTGAAAGTCTTCCATTTATGTTCACGTTCATGCTATTATTACTGAGTGGTTATGGGGAATCGGTTACGGCGTTTAGATACGCTGCCCAAATTAATCGAGTCCAGGTTCTGCAATGCTCTGAAGATACCTAAGGTGTACCTGATTGAGTCCTGACTTTTAGATACCTGGGCTGCTTTAATGCTGTAGATTCTGTTACAGCTGTCGCTCCTCTCAACATATATGCTGATATTGACTATGATATACTTTGTCGGTAGTAACATTCCGCGCATATAATGCAGCGCTATGTGACCGCTGGTTCGGCTGGAGAGGAAGCCCGCAAGGTACAACGGAACGAGTGAGTTCAGTAAGAATGATCGGAGAGCGCCCCTCTACCAATGATTTGCTAGTTTATTCACCGCGCCCACATATGCTTATGGTAATGATATTTATGCCGTTTCATTAATGCGAGTTTCGACGAAGTGTAAATGTGCCCAGCCCATTGTCTTGGCAATTGTTTAGTGTTATCATTTAATTAGCCATGTTCCTCTAAGTGTTTCAATTGCTTTGATTAGGCTACTTCGCTGCTCTCACTTGCTTGTATTGGCATCTTCCCTTGCCCATTCGCGTTAGTCGATGGACATGATCTCCCACTCAGTCAACCTGATCCTATACCTAAACCTAGCCCCATGCCGAACTCTGTTCAGAAACCTAAAAGTGCATCTCACACCAAGCATAAGCTTAGTGCCTGAACCTAAGAACTTACAAATTGTAGCCCAATGCCCTCCACCAACTCTCTGACCCCAATATTCTCAATCACAGCTACGCCCTCCCCCTTGAGTGGAGTCTGGTCACGGTTAAAGATTAGTGGCGATGAGTCTGCTTTGTGGGTGAGCTTCGGTCCAGTGCACTCAACCCTCTGCTCTGTTAACCAGAACCCCTGACCTTAAACTACTGACACTGCGACGATCTACCCGTTCTGCCAGCGCGTGAAGACTGTGCATGTTGGCACCCGCGGTCCATTAGAGAGCAGGCCTGTGAACCCAGCGCTGCAGATCGACTTCGGGTCAGCCATGCTGGCTGCCATAATGCACCTCTGCCCACGCAGATATCTTTGAGCAACAATCTGCAGACTACTGAGAGATCTGATGCCATCGCGCTAGGCCAAAACATTTCTTTTTCCTCATTCAAAGTACACATGATATGGGATAAGCACTGGCAGTCTGTTCGCCTAGGACCACTGAACAAACAAGTCCTGCCAGTTATGTCCATGTTGTTACTTCGCAGCGACACCAGTGACAAAGTTAAAATTTTAGTATTTAGTCCTCTGTTTGAATTCGATGATCCGTAGTAAAAAGTATAAAAACATAGGAAAAGAGTCAAGCCTTTATTTAGATGATCACTAAAACACACAAAACAATACCCTTGAGAAAAGGAATGGCAGGAATGTTACTTTCACAAACCACTACCAAAACGGGGCGTAAGGGGATGAGAATCCATAACCAGAGGGGGATGCTTCCGCAAGACATTGCGTTCTGAGGCGTTAGTTACCTGTTCCCCGAGGTGCCCCTGCCGAATTAAATGAATGTAGTTCATCAGTACAGCATATGGTAACAGAGAGGCACAGGAAACAAAATGTTTTGCCATAAAACTATGACACTATGGTCACTTTGGTGATATGCAACTGATATGCAGTATCGACGTGCGAAAAGCTGTAAAGCAGCACACAAATGCGCGTCTAACATCAAAGACTTTATCGTTTTCGATGCCTAGATAGCAGAGTGTTACGTTTTGTTGCATTTACAAAATCATCTTCACTAATCCAAGTCACAATGCACTTGGCTGCACGCGGACTAACTCAATCAATTAGAACGGTCACTAACCACAATATGAAAGCCAAATCTGCCAAGTTCTTCGTCATTCATGCTATTATTACCGCAACGCAATATCCTTAGAATCTCTTCCACATTGAATGCATACACCAGAGTAAAGAAATACTGCGTTCTTCTGATCTTATAAATGGTATTCAGTGTCCGCAAATTCCATGCTGGGTACCATCACATCCCAAACTGTCAATACCAAATCGCCATTTAGAAAGTACAAAAAGGAAATTTGCAATTATCACCGGTCAACAAAACGAAACGCGAGTGCAGTGCAGACAGAGAGAACATGTTGTCTTTGGAATCATTCCGTGTAAATTAAGAAGCATAGACCGAGTGCAAAACCAAACAATGAGAAATGGCAAAAATCAAACGAGATAAGTGTGCATCTGCCGATGACAGATGTAGCTCAAAAATACATTGGAGCCAATGTGGGGTTCAGGCAAAATATGCTTGAAACGTCGTCGTTGTGGTAAAAATGAATACATGATTGCTGGTTATCGGCACTTTGGTCACTTGCTTTCGAAGAAAGTATTATTAGCTGAGAGGTGCAGCAGAGTACTCCACAGCACCAAGGTGTTTTACTCAACATCTGCTTAGGGCACTATACAAAGGGGCAAGAAGTCGAGAGTAGGTGACAGTTGGGATTCAGCAATAATCCTTAGGAGAAAATTGGATCTAAGCAAGTACGTTAATTTGCAGTTCTTAAAAAGCGCCAGTCTGCAGATGTACAGGCTTACTACCAAAATTCAGTTTATGATGAGGAGGTGTCACATTCGGAAACGGAGTCATTTGTAATGTGCAATACATTTCGTTCGTATGTGTAGCTGCATTCCCGAGTGCAAACACTCTACTGTCGGATTCGTTACCACTGGGGGCTTTAGAGAGAAACTAACATCTCCTGTTTGGTTTGCCGTACAAAT